AAAAGATATTGCCTAGAAAAATCCTTCCATACTTTTTCTTTTGCACTGATGAACGCGGAATTGGAATATAATTAAGGTGTCTGAGATGAACAAAACAGGAGAAGAAAAGAACAAATTGGCATTATTTAAAATCAACAAATAAGAAAACAGGAGATCAGTGAGGCCAAGGAGAAAATTCCAAAATACTTTCTGTAGCCATTCAGGGCTAATCAGGTGTTCTTTTGGAAATATATAGCTAATTACCAGGTTTCTTTCACATAAATAAGAGCAAATGTAGGGGGAATATTATCTAACAAGAAATGTGGAACACCAGGAAGTGAATCCTTTCAGTGCAAGCACATAATGTTGGTTTACTTTGATAGTAAAACCAAAAGAGTCTTGCCCATCTCACCTGTTCATTTGGCCTTCTCTACCTGTGACACGATGGCTCAGTGGCTAAGACTGAGCTTGTCGATCGAAAGGTCGGCAGTTCAGCGGTTCAAATCCCTAGTGCCATGAAATGGGGTGAGCTCCCGTTACTTGTCCCAGCTTGTCCCTGGGGGAAATAGAAAAAGAAAACTATCAGCTTAAAACCAAGGGAAATAAGTACAACTGTATTAACTGAAGGACCAATACGAAACAAATGCTTCAAAAGATTAATTTATTTACGTGTTGTTTGTTGTGTAAATGTTCTTATATGTTTTTATATGTGTTTTAATAAAGTTTATAAATTTTAATTTTTAAAAAAATGCAAGTAGAAAAATAGGGACCACCTTTGGTGGGAAGGTAACAGCGTTCTGTGCCTGGCCTGAGAAGGTAAGGGTGACAGTGGGGGATGGAGAAGCGGCCAGGGCAGAGACAGAGAGATACAGAGAGAGGGGGAGAGAGAGAGAGAGAGAGACAGAGAGAGATACAGAGAGAGGGGGAGAAAGAGAGAGAGACAGAGAGAGAGACAGAGAGAGGGGGAGGGAGGGAAGGAGGGAGGGGAGAGAGAGATATGTTAAAAGGATTTTGTGGTTCCCGGTGTTTTTTAACAACTGGTTCACTACCCTAATGACCAGCTGGGTAGGCATGGCTGGGGGGTCATTTGACTGGTGGAAGTGAGTGACATCGAGTTGGCCACGCCCACCCAGGTTTTGTGGCTCCCGGTGTTTTCCTTTTTTGTGGGAAACGGGTCCAAATGGCTCTCTGAGTATTTAAGGTTGCAGACCCCTGTGCTAGAATGGGGATTAGGTTAAAATATCAGTGAATGGAAGCAAGATGTTCAATATTCATAAGTAATAACAATAGAGGAGGTATTTTATTGTATAGGCATTTCCATTAACTGCTGTGATTTTGGTTCAGTATGGCATACTCTCAGCTATCATTCATTACACGATGGTGGCCATGAGTTAATATATTAATTTGCATTAATATGCACATATTTCTGAACCAAGAAACACTGTTTTATTCAATAAGGCACTTATGGTATTGTAGAGTGAAAAATCCCTACCCCCCCCCCCGCCCAGCTGAGCCGCACAATCAAAAGCATTTTTTCTACAACCTCTTCAGCCGAAAAAATGCATTTATTTATTTATTTATTTATTTATTTATTTATTTATTTATTTATTTATTTCATGTATTTATATGCCGCCCTTCTCCAGAAGGACTCAGGGCAGCGAACACAAGTTAAAAACATGTACAACAAAATCCCATTTTAAACCAAATTAACTAATAAATAATAAATAATAAAACCCAGAATCAGAGTCAGCCTATTTGCTTGAACAACCAAGTCTTCAGGTTCCGATGGAAGGAGCGGAGATCAGGAGCCGTCTGGAGCTCAGTAGGCAACTCATTCCAGGTTTTTTTTTAAAAGTAAAAAAAAAAAAAAAGCCTCTGATGATCGTGTGGCTCAGCTGGGATCATCAGAGCCTTTTGAAAGCATTTTTTTACAACCACTTCACCGAAGAGGTTGTAGAAAAAATGGTTTTAAAAGTAAAAAAAAAAATGGCCACGCCCACCCAGTCACATTACCCCCACACACACCAAGCCACGCCCACAGAACCGGTAGTAACAAATTTTAGATTTCACCACTGCCACTGGCGCCCCAGACACAAGTGACGTCAAGCTGGCCATCAGGCAACTCAGGTGTGTGTCACCAACCCTGGTGACACACACACACACACACACACACACACACACACACACACACACACATGTACATACCCCGAGGTAAAACACAACCCTGATGCAGCCCTCAATGAAATTGAGGTTGACACCACTGCATGAAAACATACACCCAGAGAGCAAACATTATCTGGTCGCCATTGAAAAAGTGAATTTATTTTAGGCTGTAATCTGCAGCGGATTATGTTGCAGTTAAATTGTGTGACATTCTTCCTTCTAAGCTGGTTTGCGCAGCTTTGCATAGCTTTGATGTCCGATTATACATCAGATTCCAGAAATGCTGCTAGACTAATCCAAATATGACTTTTTTTTAAAAAGAAAAAGAAAAAAGAAAATCTTTCCATTTCTATTGCAGTAAACATGGAAGACGTGGACAGAGTGAAACACGAAGCCCAGGTATGAAATTGATCAAGACAAGGATAATATATGCATTGTTGTCCTACTCGTTGTTATTTATTTCCAGCATTGTCATTCTGTTCTGACAAGGTATACAGATACAGATACAGATTAACAGAGTTGGAAGGGACCTTGGAAGTCATCTAGTTCCAACCTCCCACCCAAGCAGACCCTACACCATTTTTAACAGATGGTAGTTCAGTCTCTTCTTGAAAGCTTCCAGAGATGAAGCTCTCTCAACTTTTGAAGGCAACTTCTGTTCCATGGGTCGGTTCTCTCACCATCAGAAAATTTCTCCTTATTTCCAGGTTGAATCTCTCCTTGTCCAGTGTCCATCCGTTATTCCTTGTCTGGCATTTGGGTGCTTTGGAAAATAGGTTGACCCCTTCCTCTCTGTGGCAGCCCCTCAAATATTGGAAGACTGCTATCCTGTCTCCCGGTCCTTCTCTTCACTAGACTAGCCATGCCCAGTTCCTGCAACCGTTCTTGATATGTTTTAGCCTCCAGTCCCCTAATCATCCTGGTTGCTCTTCTCTGCACTCTTTCTAGAGTCTCAACATCTTTTTATAGAGGGTGGAGGTTCGTTCTCTGAGCTTGTGGGTTGGTTTCTGGATATTTTGTTACCTGTACAGGTAACATCTTCAGCGGAGTTTAGGGGATGTCAGTGTTCTTCTGTTTATAAGGGCTTCAGGTGTGGGTGTCTTGTGATGGATTTTATGATGGGTCAGGTGTGAGTCATCAGTGAGAATCTTGTGATGGATCTTGTGACAGAGAGGTTACATAAGATCAGGGTCATTGGGAGGGTTAGGGTTGGGGGTGGGGGTGGTGTTGCATGGGTTGGTTGAAGGTCGGTGCTGTCTCTGGTTGGCCATGTCCTTGATTTGGATTCTGAGGGGTTCGTAGGCTGGTTGTAGGTCAAGGTATATAGTATCTCCCAGAGCTAAAATGGAAATTCTAAGAAGGGTCATCCCGAAACATCTGGAGAGTCAGCGGTGGGTTGCTCCCGGTTCACACCGGTTCACAAGAACTGATAGTAAAAATTTGTAGTAGTTCGGAGAACCGGTAATAACATTGGCTGGCCATGCCCCCGAACTGGTCCTTGGCCCAGTCGCCGCTCACTTACCCCGCCCACCTCATCAGAGGCTTTTTTTTTTACTTTTAAAAGCATTTTTTCTACAACCTCTTTGGCAGAAAAAAATGCCTTTAAAAGTAAAAAAAAAAAAGCCTCTGATGATCGCACGGCTCAGCTGGGATCATCAGAGGCTTTTAAAAGCATTTTTTCCTGCAACCTGTTCAGCCGAAGAGGTTGTAGAAAAAAAAATGCCTTTAAAAGCCTCTGGTGATCCCAGCTGAGTTGCCTGATCATCAGAGGCTTCTAAGAGCATTTTCTTTTTTGCAACCTCTTAAGGTTGTAGAAAAAATGCTTTTAAAAGTTTTTTTTTAAAAAAGTTGGCCACGCCCACCCAGTCACATTACCCCCCACCAATCCACGCCCACAAAATAAGCCACGCCCACAGAACCGGTAGTAAAAAAATTTAGAAGCTACCCCTGTGGAGAGCCTACAACTTGAGGAAGGTTGCTATAGAAAGCAAAGGGGCTTTTAAAAGATAAGCTTCCATGGGTTAGACCAGGATTCTCAACCTCCAGGACCTCAAGACATATGGACTTCAACTTCCAGAATTCTCCAGCCAAATAATACAACTGAGCGGGTCCAGAGGTATTTCACAAGAAGAGTACTCCACTCCTCTACTCACAATAGAATCCCTTATGCCACTAGGCTTGAAATTTTGGGTTTGGGCAATCTGGAATTGCACCGCCTGCGGTCTGACCTAAGTATAGTACACAAAATTGTCTGCTACAATGTCCTACCTGTCAATGACTACTTCAGCTTCAACCACAATAATACACGGGCAAACAATAGATACAAACTCTAGGTAAACTGCTCCAAACTCGATTGCAGAAAATACGACTTCAGCAACAAAGTGGTCAACGCCTGGAATACTCTACTTGACTCCATTGTTACATCCACAGACCCCCATAGCTTCAACCTTAAACTGTCTACCATGGACCTCACCGCATTCCTAAGAGATCCGTAAAGGGGGCATCCATAAGTGCACCAGCGTACCTACCGTCCCTGTCCCACTGTCCCATTTATTTGTACTCATTATACCTGTGCTCATCTCCATGTTTATACTTATACCTGTTATCTCGTATATGTTTGACAAACTAAATAAATAAATAAAAATACATAAATAAATAAAATTTGGAGAGCCTACAACTTGGGGAAGGCTGCTACAGAAAGCAAAGGGGCGTGGCCTTCAACTTCCAGCATCCTCCAGCCGAATGCTGAATGAGGAATTCTGGGAGTTGAAGTCCAGACATCAGATTGCTGAGATTAAGAAACACTGTTATAGGACATTAGAGGTTGCACTCCAAAGACAGGTGGCAAGTAGGATGAGAACTATATTTTAATTTTAAAAAACAAGTTGAGCTCTCAAACTGACCTTGATTTTTGGTGATTACCACTTCCATACCACTAGTGGTGTGTTGGTTGTGGCAGTGAGAACAGCCACTGTCTTCTTCTGGGGTGGTTTCCAACCTTCTCACTAATAACCTTGGTGTTTCTTGGATCTCCGATACAATACTAAATAGGATTACTCCTATTTAGTTTCCAAGCCAAGTAAGTACCAGCCTACCTGAAATTAAATTACATCAAGTCTTCAGGTTCAAATGTCTCAGTTTAAGGAGAATCCATAATTATGAACAGAGCCTAGTGTAGCAAAATTTGAGTTATATACACAATTGGTTCAAAATCATTATACCATACTACTTTTGTTGTTGTTGTTAGTTGCAAAGTTGTGTCTGACCTCATCGTCATCCCATGGACAATGTTCCTCCGGGCCTTCCTGTCCTCTACCATCTTCTGGAGTCCATTTAAACTCACGCCTGACTGCTTCAGTGACTCCATCCAGCCACTTCGTTCTCTGCCATCCCTTTCTTCTTTTGCCCTCAATCTATCCCAGCATTAGGCTCTTCTCCAAGGAGCCTTTTCTTCTCATTAGGAGGCCAAAGGATTTGAGTTTCATCTTCAGGATCTGGCCTTCTAAAGAGCAGTCAGGGTTGATCTCCTCCAGGACTGACCAGTTTGATCGCCTTGCAGTCCAAGAGACTCGCAGGAGTCTTCTCCATCACCACAGTTCAAAGGCCTCAATTCTTTGGCTCTCAGCCTTTCTTATGGTCCAACTTTCACAGCCATCCATTGCAATTGGGAAAACCATCGCCTTGACTATATGCACTTTTGTTGGCAGGGTGATGTCTCTGCTTTTTAGTATGCTGCTAATACAGTCTTATACAATAATATTCTTTTGGCTTACATACAAATTCGACTTAAGAACAGACTCTGGGAATGGAACTCATTCTTAAACTGAGATACACTGGTAGTCCTTGACTTCAACTCTTCATTTAGTGACTGTTCAAAGTTACACCGTCGCTGAAAAAAGTGACTTATGGCCATTTTTCACACTTACGACCATTGCAGTATCCCCAAGTCACAGGATCAAAATTCAGTTGGCAACTGACTCATATTTTTGACGGTTGCAGTGTCCCGGGGTCATGTGGTCCAGGGGTAGGTTCCACTTACCTTTACTACCGGTTTGCAACGGGGCCGCGCGCGCGAGCCTCCCACCGGTTCTACTGCCCTTTTGTGACCTTCTGACAAGCAAAGTCGATGGGAAATCCAGATTCACTTAATAACCTTAAGTGACTAAACAACTGCAAATGAATCACTTAACAACTATGGCAAGAAAGGTCATGAAATGGGGCAAAACAGAAGTCTCACTTAGCAACATAAATTTTGGGCACAATTGTGGTCACAAGTCGAGAACTACTTGTACTTGTATAGCAAAGCAAAATAAATACTTATGGTTACAATTGGTTATGATGTATTTAATATATTGGCTTCTTCTTTAGTTCCCTTAAAAGTCACATTTGGGTTACAGATTTCGGAAGTAGCTGGATTTATATGCTATCCAAGAGTTTATACAGTCAGATGCTTATGAGTTTAGATCCATCCATAAGTTAGCTGTGTATATACTCATTTAGTTGTACATGTGTTCCTTATTCCCTCATTTTTTTTCGGTGGGTGACTTGAGATGAATCACAAGTTGGAATTAAGATTGCCAGGACAAATATCAACAATCTCAGATATGCAGATGATACCACTCTAATGGCAGAAAGTGGAGAGGAACTAAAGAACCTCTTGATGCGGGTGAAGGAGGAGAGTGCAAAAGTTGGCTTGAAATCAACATTAAGAAAACTAAGATCATGGCTCCCGGCCCTCTCAATTCCTGACAAATAGATGGGGAAGAAATGGAGGTAGTGACAGATTTTATTTTCCTGGGCTCCAAGATCACTGCAGATGGGGACTGCAGCCAAGAAATTAAAAGATGCTTGCTCCTGGGGAGGAAAGCTATGGCAAATCTAGATAGCGTACTAAAAAGCAGAGACATCACCCTGCCAACAAAAGTGCATATAGTCAAGGCTATGGTTTTCCCAGTTGCAATGTATGGCTGTGAAAGTTGGACCATAAGGAAGGCTAAGCACCAAAGAATTGAGAGGCCTTTGAACTCTGGTGCTGGAGAAGACTCCTGCGAGTCCCTTGGACTGCAAGGCGATCAAACCGGTCAGTCCTAGAGGAGATCAACCCTGACTGCTCTTCAGAAGACCAGATTCTGAAGATGAAACTCAAATACTTTGGCAACTTAGTGAGAAGGAAGGACTCACTGGAGAAGAGCCTAATGCTGGGAACGATTGAGGGCAAAAGAAGAAGGGGACGACAGAGAACGAGGTGGCTGGATGGAGTCACTGAAGCAGTCGGCGTGAGCTTAAATGGATTCCAGAGGATGGTAGAGGACAGGAAGGCCTGGAGGAAAGTTGTCCATGGGGTCACGATGGGTCGGACACGACTTCGCGACTAACAACAACAACTTGAAAAGGCTGAGCAAATACAAACGTACTTTTCAAATAGACAGCTATTTGAAGTTACAACTGGCAAAACATCTAAGGGAGATACTTATGCGAGTGAGATTTGAACAGCTCGACACAATGGTCAGATATGGGAGCAATTCCATTCTATACCCTACAATGAACGTCTCTGCATTTGCGGAGTGACAGAGGTAGGAGACTGGTTCACATCCTATTTGATCGTTGCTTGTACAAGAGGATGAGAGACAAGTACCTCGGTCCATATACCAAACGAATGACCCATTGGGATCCCCATATCAAAACAATTTACCTTATGTGCGGCCAGAATCTGAAAATAACATTTAACACAGCACAGGACTTAAGCAAAATGGTTCGGTTGAGATTTGCATATGTGGGACTGATTGGGGTAGATTGCAGGGGTGATACCGAAATATAATTTTATCATATTTTATTTATCTATATCTTAAATTATGTATTTTATTCCCATTTCATTTTAGACTGTATTTTATTCCAGTTTAATTTTAATCTGTATTTTATCCAATTCCATTTTAAATTGCTTTAATCTAATTTTAGTAATAATTTGTTTCTGGAAATTTGCACTTTGATATGGCCCAAGGCCTAATCATAAAGTAAAAGTAAAGTAAAGATTAATATTGTATAGAAATCTGTCCTGGCAGTTATTTTTCCTTGCAGTGGTGGCTTCTCTTTTCCTATCTCTTTTCCTTTGGAATTTCTTTACCATTTCTTTGGAAAGTGTATTTGAGCTTAATTTATTGTGGGCTAATTAATACATAAAGAATTGCTGAATTGCCTCATTTCTTTTTCAAGTTCCCAAATCCAATCTTGTTCCTTTCTGTATTTCAGGAGCTGAAAGCCGTACCTCTTTACCAAAACCACTGCCCAAAATAATTTTTCAACAAGACTTCCCAAAACCATCTCGGCCTGGTCACAAAGTGAGATCCAGACCTTCTGTTTTAAAGGCAAGTGATTTTCTTATGGTTGTTTGAAAAGGCCAAACTTGTAAAAAGCAATGCTAGCTATTAGTTTTTTGTGAAATAGATGGAGCCTCTTTTCATGAAAATCAATGTCAACATAGGATCAACAAACATACGTAGAAGAAGGAATGGCAGAACCTGGGGGGGGGGAGGAGTCAAAATAGGAATCAGCCTAGAATCTATACATAGTCACAAATGGACCACATTCAACCTCTCTTGAGTTCCTTTGAGCCTTAGCTAGTGCCAAAATAGTGCTGTTACTTGAATAAATTCTTGTGTATAGGGATAAGAGTAATAAACCAATTCAACTGGAACGTCATATATGGTCCTGATATTTTGCACCTGACAATATTTCAAGTCTGACCTTATGAACACACTTGGAATATTGCATCCAGTTTTGGTGACCACAATATAAGAAAATGTGGAGATTCTAGAAAGAGTGCAGAGAAGAGCAACAAAATGATTAGGGGACTGGAGGCTAAAACATATGACGACTGGTTGCAGGAGTTGGGTATATCTAGTCTAGTGAAAAGAAGGACTAGGGGTGAAATGTTAGCAGTGCTCTAATATCTAAGGGGCTGCCACAAAGAAGAGGGGATCAGCCTATTCTCCAAAGCACCTGAAGGCAGGACAAGAAGCAATGTATGAATCCATATTTGTTCTCCTTATGATTTAACAAGCACCCTCAACCTATTTGGGTTGGATGTTCTTTTCTCCATCCCTTTCTCTCCAAACCTTAAATAATAACATGCTGTTGTATTATTAAATGCACAGCCCCCAGCTGAGGGCCTACGGCCATCTAAGAAGCCAGAGCCAACCCCTGAGACGCCAGAGCCACCCCCTGAGAAGCCACAGCCAGCCCCACAGAAACCACAGCCGGTCCCGGAGAAGCCACAGGCAGCCCCTCAGAAACCACAGCCTGCCACTCCTGCTGTACCAGCGGGAAGTGGGCCTACTGCACCCTCTCAGCCAAAACCGCCAGCTAAAGCTAAAGTCCCCGAGCCAGAACCAAGCATATGGGAAAAGATATTCCCGTGTCTAAAGAAAGAGAAACCCGCTCCAAAAGAACCTTTGGAGAAACATTTGGTGGCCGTTGCCCCTCCCCCGAAAGGACCATATGAAAAAACAACTTTGATGGTTGGTGACACGCGTGCAATCTCAACGGTGCCTTCGCCACCCTTGCCTGAGGAGCCTAAAAAGAAACCACCAAGCAGGAAGAAAAGGGAGAAAAGGAAGGCTTCTTCAGCCCACATCTCGGTGCCCAAGACAGTTTTCTCTATCTTTGATCCTGTCAAAGAACCAGCTGAGGTTTACATCCAGGAACCTTCTAAGTTACCCAAAGGGATTTTGAAAACCTCAGAAGAAAGAGTGCAGACCAGCAAATCCGTCTCCATCATCTTGCCCTCAGAAATGGACCAGGCCGAAATACCCCCAGAAGGAGTTGTGAAGTCTTCAAAGACCCACTTCAAAAGTCCGGAGGTATCTCAGGTGACCAGCGAGAGCTCCGTTCAATCGCTCCCTCAGGAAAGAAAACCTACCTCCGCACCTCCTGACCGGGCCAAAGAAAAGGAGGAGAAGTCATCAGAGGAGGAGGAGGAGTCACCACGTCCCATTTCTCTCAAATCACAGAAAAAGGCACCCTTGTTTGCCAGGACGAACGTTCCTCCAAAGCGGAAAGCTAACACAAAAGATTCCGCCACTCAGACGGTCCCACCAGTCGAGGCCGTTAAACCTGCTTCCCCCTTACTCTCCCTACTTCAGTCTCCCTCACCAACCTCCACCACGCCTCAACCTACCGAGAAGATGGCGTGCCGTTTACCTGCAGCACACTTCCAACTGGAGATGGCACCTTCATACATTCCGCCACCGAAACACGGACGCCCTCCGCCTCCATCGACCAAAGCTGAGGATGAAACAGAACCCGACAAACCCCCTAAACCAGGAGCCAGAGGTGCACCACTGGTGAGACAAATGTCTATGGAGGTTCTCAGTCATCCAGGTCACTGTTGTCCCAAAAGTGTTTTTTTCCAAAGGCCACTGGACTTTCTGGTTGTTCTTTGAAGACGTTTCGCTTCTCATCCAAGAAGCTTCTTCAGTTCTGACTGGATGGTGGGGAATGGAAGGATTGATACTCCTTGCAGACAGCTGGTCATTTGCATCCTTTTAGAAGGTTGTTGAGGTCACCTGGTGGTTCATCTGTGTGAAGCCTTCTTGGAACTGTTGAAAGGACTGTGTTGTAGAATGGAGATAGAGTCAAAATTGAACAGCCCTCTCTCAGCAGAGGGATATGGCATCATCTATCTCCAATCTACAACACAGTCCTTTCAACAGTTCCAAGAAGGCTCCACACCTATTTGCACCACTCAGGTGACCCTGAGGACACAGGTAAACCTCCAAGTGGCCTTAACAACCCACTAAAAGAATGCAAATGTCCAGCTCTCTGCAAGGAGTATCACCCCTTCCATTCCCCACCATCCAATCAGAGCTGAAGAAGCTTCTTGGATGAGAAGCGAAACGTCTTCAAAGAAAAACAAGAAAGTCCAGTTGCCTCTTGAAAAAAAGCACCTTTGGGACACTGATGAGCTACTGATACAGCGGTGTGGAGATTTTCTTGCAGTTGTTTTTTAACCCTCCTCATTTAGAGATGGCATTCCCATCCCTAAATGTCAAAAGAGAAACAAATTTCGATCTCCATATGTTGGGAGTTAAAGGGACGCGGTGGCTCAGTGGCTAAGACGCTGAGCTTGTCGATTGAAAGGTCGGCAGTTCAGCAGTTCGAATCCCTAGCGCCGCGTAACGAGGTGAGCTCCCGTTACTTGTCCCAGCTTCTGCCAACCTAGCAGTTCGAAAGCACATAAAAAGTGCAAGAAGAAAAATAGGGACCACCTTTGGTGGGAAGGGAACAGCGTTCCGTGCGACTTTGGTGTTGAGTCATGCCGGCCACATGACCACAGAGATGTCTTCGGACAGCGCTGGCTCTTTGGCTTAGAAAAGGAGATGAGCACCGCCCCTAGAGTCGGGAATGACCAGCACTTTTTTTTTTATTTGATTTATATGCCGCCCTTCTCCAGAGACTCAGGGCGGCTTACACTGTGCTAAGCAATAGCCTTCATCCTTTTGTATATTTATACAAAGTCAGCTTATTGCCCCCACAACTGAGTCCTCAATTTACCTACCTTAGAAAGGATGGAAGGCTGAGTCAACCTTGAGCCTTGGCGAGATTCGAACCTGCAGTAAGTGCAGGCAGCTGGTCTTAATAACAGGGTGCTTTAGACCACTGTTTTACCAAGGCTCTTGGTAGTACGGCTCGCACATGTGTGCGAGGGAAACCTTTACCTTTACTTTATGTTAGGAGAGCAAGGTTCTGGCATCCGGTGGGGCCAATGATTTGCCTTTCTGACTTGTTCCCCCCCCCCCCAAGATTGTTCTGGGCTTCAGTGTTTTAATTCCCCTTTGGAGGAATTAATGAAAAAAATTAACCTGTTTTTGCATTATTATTTTTTTGTCTTTTAGTAGCCTCGAATGCACTTTTTGGATGGAAAAACAAGATACAAATCTAATAATAAACTTGTATTTTTGTTTTGGAATTTTCACGAAGTAAAATCCCATCCATCCAGGATGTATTGTTATATGTGTAATCATTTTTCCACTTCATGAGGTAGAAAAATACGGATTGGTCTTGCTTGTTATCTTTTTGACATTTTCTGCTTGTGTTTAATTAATTCTATCTTTGCCTTGTCTTTTTCTCCCCAGCCTGGAGCAAAATGGGTTCATAAATTTCTTTTTTAAGGATTGGGCCAGTCTTCTCCGGAAGCTCCACAAGCGATCAACTGATCACTTTTTATGAAAAGCCAAAAAATAAAACTTTTCCACCAGCATCCAGTGATTTATAGATTTTACCTTATGTTTTAATAATAAACATAATGATTACACTTCTGTATAGGACTTTATAGATTGATCTACTTGGGTTAGGATTGCCATAACGGAGGATTCCTATCTGAGTGGGGGCATGATGTAATAGGATGTTGTAATAAACCCAGCAAGGGTGTCTTCTCAAGAGATCCAACCCAGATTTCAATCAATGAACCCATCATCCTGCTAGGGTTCCATGACTGAAGGTAGACTTGAAGTTGGGAATCTCTGGTCTCGTCTCATATCTTAACTTATAATATTACTTTGACCTCTTATCCTTCTCTTGATCCTCCTTCCCCTGTTCCTCTTCCTCTTCTTTGCATTCCTCCTCCTCCTCCCATTTACCATTCCCCTGCCTTCTAGCACTGATGGTGTTCCCTAGCTAGGTAATGAAATGTCTGCCAAAGACAACCAAGTTTAGAGAACACCAGAGTTGTCTTCTCCTCCTCCCACTTACAACTTCCCTGTCCTCCTCCTCCTCCCACTTACAACTTCCCTGTCCTCCTCTCTTCCTCTCCCACTTACAACTTCCCTGTCCTCCTCTCCTCCCACTTACAACTTCCCTGTCCTCCTCCTCTTCCTCCTCCCACTTACAACTTCCCTGTCCTCCTCCTCTTCCTCCTCCCTCTTACAACTTCCCTATCCTCCTACTCTTCCTCCTCTCACTTACCAACTTCCCTGTCCTCCTACTCTTCCTCCTCCCACTTACAACTTCCCCTCCTCCTCCCACTTACAACTTCCCCTCCTCCTCCTCTTCCTCCTCCCACTTACAACTTCCCTGTCCTCTTCCTCTTCCTCCTCCCACTTACAGCTTCCCCTCCTCCTCCTCTTCCTCCTCCCACTTACAACTTCCCCTCCTCTTCCTCCTCCCACTTACAACTTCCCTGTCCTCCTCCTCTTCCTCCTCCCACTTACAACTTCCCTGTCCTTCTCCTCCTTCTCCTCCCACTTACAACTTCCCTGTCTTCTACAGCAGCACTGATGATGTTCCCTTCCCTAGCTGGGTAATGAAATGCCTGCAAGGAAATAACCAGGCTCAGGGAACTCCAAGGACCCCACCGAGGTCCTCCTCCTCCTCCTCCTCCTCCTCCTCCCCCCCCCACATTGATCAGTTTGCATTTATAGGCAAGCCTTCTTCACTTCAGTTTCATATTTACAGATTAGAGGCAATACTGTAACCCAAATTTGATGGTCCTGAGGATAGCATGAATTGAACAATGCCGCCATCTCCTGACCAAAAAAAGGAAATAATTAAAAATAAATCCAATGAAAAATAAATAAAATACCACATTGAAGGAGGTAGCAGGGCCATTGTCAGGTGTGTTTCCTTCAAAGTCCAGGAAAGGATGACCCAAACTCCATGTTTTATAGAGAAAGGTACTTTTATTGGTTTATGGTTTATGGTAACCACAAATCAGAAAGAGTCTAAGATCGTATTTTTTACAACTAACCAATTTTATTAAAAGGCATAAAAGTTTGTGAGACACAGCTGTCCAAAGCATCTGAAGGCAGGACAAGAAGCAATGGGTGGAAACTAATCAAGGACAGAATCAACCTAGAACTAAGGAGAAATTTCCTGAGAGTGAGAACAATTAACCAGTGGAACAGCTTGCCTTCAGGAGTCGTGAAGTTGCTTCAAAACTAAGACGACATTGGACAGTCACTTGTCTGAAATGGTATAGGGTCTCCTGCTTGAACATGGGACTGGTCTAGAAGACCTCCAAGGTCCCTTCCAGCTTTGATTGATTGATGGATTAGTGGTTCAGTCTTGCCAGTATTAGATTTGTCATGTCAAGTCTCAGTACGTTTGCCTTTATTTACAAAACAGAATAGACAAGTGGTGGTGCGGTCTCTTCTTAAAAACCTCCAGCGATGAAGCACCCACAATGTCTGAAGGCAACCACTCTACTGGCCTAGTTTTTCCTTTGAAAATTCTTCATCTAAGGCAGAGGTCTTCAAACTTGGCAGCCTTAAGACTTGTGGACTTCAACTCCCAGAATTCTCCAGCCAGCATAGCATAGCTATAATATTCTTTTATCTACTTGCATTTACGTGCTTTCCAACTGCTACTGTATTTCCCTGAAAATAAGACCTTGTCTTATATTTTTTTGAACCCTAAAATAAGTACTTGGCCTTATTTTTGGGGAGGTCTTATTATTTTGGGGCACACGGAGCAAGACGTGCCTGATTTCCAGCTCTGTCTCCCTAACCCTAACTTGAGGAAATGGCAGGAACTGGCTGCGCATGAGTTTAAATATTTTTGAGGAGGGCTTATTATTTTGGGGTGCGGGGAGCAAGACGGGGCTCCTCTTGCAGTCTTACCAGATTTCCAGCTCTGTCTCCCTAACCAGAGGAAATGGCAGGGACCACCTGCACATGGATTTAACTATTTCCGGGAAGGGCTTATTTTGGGGGGTATGTGTTATTTTAGCACATGCGTTCAAAAGCCCAATTGGGCTTATTATCAGGGGATGTCTTATTTTAGGGGAAACAGGGTAGGTAGGCAAGAGCTGTTCTGTTGGTCAGAATAGTTTGATAAGCAGCCAGGTTCAGAGGCAGCATATTTCAACATGCAAAGCCATGAGAAAACATGGTCTAGCACACACTATTCCTTTCCTCCTTGCCATGCAACAGTTGAAAACCTCCTGATCCTAGCTTTCCTAACAAGGCATAAGATGGACAAAACCCCAGTCTGAAAGCAATTTCAAATTATAGAGCTCACCCCATTGAACAGTGCCTGGCTCTTGAATCAGGACTGTACAGTAGTGGCCAAAATTGCAGAAAGCTTTTGGGAAAAGTGTATTTTCTAAAACTAGCTAATAACACCACTTTTTTTTTTTTTGCAGTAGTACCATAAAATTATATATCAATGGAAAGATAATTTGATCAAGAATGTAATGCAATAACTTTTAGGAAGGATTTGCTATTAGAATAGCAGTTACAGTATAAAGAAGAAAAGTGAAACAGAGAAAAAATGAGATATACAAAAATGATCACCATGTCACTTAATACTTAGTTGGGTAACCTTTAGCATGAATTACAGCCTTACAATGTCTTCCCATGGAATGAACCAAGTCTTTTAGTTCTGCAGCTGTTCTAATGTGAAACCAAGATGGAATGATGGCTTCTATTAACTGGGTTTTATTGCTGGGTCGCTTCTGACTAACAACTTTCTTTTTTTTTTTTTATTGAAAAGGTTTTCAAATACAAATTTTTCCCCCTTTTTCCCCCCCCTCCCCCCCCTCCCTAACCCCCCCTCCCCACCCTTCCCCCCCTGTGACTTCTTCGTAACAAAAAAAAACCCTAATTCATAACAGATTACTTACTCCCTCCTCAAAATACTGACCTTTACTTACTAAGAGTATTATAAATCCCCCTTTATCCATACATTTCAGAAAAGAAGAAGAGAAAAAAAAAAACAAAAAAAAACAAACACATTATACTATAACTATTATAAAATAACTCTAATTTAGCATAATAGTGTTTTATATCTATGCATTATTGCAACAATTCAAAACCACCTTCCACTTTAAAACTATACAATAAGTCCTACTTTAATAACATTTCAAAGCGGGCTCCCCATAAAATCTAATTTAACATTTATTCCACTCTATCCATTTCCTCCACTCCCCTAAATGTATCACTTAAAAATCCCTTTTCTTAAACTAATCAATCTGTAGCTAGCTTATTCACCCACTGTCTTACAAATTTACCATACACAACAATTCTTGATATCTTTAATTCACTGCCCACACTACTTAAAAATATATATATATATATATTCCATTATATCTAAATAAAAAAAAGAAAAGACAATAACTTTAAATTTATAGTCCATATAATATCTTCTTGAAGTCTTTCCACTGGATTGTTAAAACCAACATCCATAATAGGGTGACATAGCTTGCGGATGCAACAGTTTATTCAAGATCTCCAATCATATCTGCCCCCATCAGTAGTAAACATCTTCTTATATATATAAAAGTAAAAACAACCACCCGAGTGACATTATAATTGTATTCCATATAATAATAATTGTGGGTTTCATCAGGATTATTAATTTCCATCATCGTATTGGGTAACAACCCGATCTTCTGCATGTCCCAATGTGATTCTCTTGCCTTATAATTCAAGATAATTATAATATATTTATCAACACAAAAAGAAGTTTCAAAGTAGATAATTCAAAACCATCAATTTGAGGCTCTTTCCATGTCCCAAAATTACGGCAATGCAGAGATCTGCCACTATCCTCAGGATGATATTGACCAATATGTCGCCTCCTCTATGTTTTCACATAATCATTCATATTTTAAAATCACTGGCTTCACTGTTGCTTGGGTTAGAAATTTCTATTTTTGTACAACCTATTTCTTTTTTTGTTTTCTTTTTGTGGGTTTGACCTCCATCCTAATTTTTTGTGTCTCGCATTTCTTTTTTATCCCTTGTATATCCTCTAATTGGTTTCCATGCTTGTCCTTGCCTTGATAAGTCATCACATTAAAATCAGATGGCACTTCTCTCAAATTTGTAGATAATCCAGCTGGGGTATCCGATAAATCCAAAGGCAATTTATCTGGTACAGTCTCTGTCTTTAGTTCCAGCTCCTTCTGCTTATCCTGTATTATATCTGAAGACGTTAAATTCATTTTCAACCTATTTTGATAAAATTCTTCCGCCCTTTCAACAGTATTTAACTGGTATCTTTCTCCTTGATATCTCAATATAATACCAACTGGGACGTCCCACCGGAATTGAATATTTCTCCTTTTTAACTCAGACACCAGAAAGCCAAATTTCTTCCTTTCCATTAGTATCTTAGGTGGGAGTTCCTTGTAAATCCAAATCTTTCTTCCATACAATTGCAAATTAGAATTGAAGGAATTTTGCACAATTTTATTCCTAATTTCTTTATCTGAAAAATAGATTACCACATCTCTAGGCAATTGCCTTTGCTTGGCAGTCCAGGAGTTTATTCGATAAGCTCTATCAATCCTACAAAACACTTCCTCAGGTTGAATCTTTAAAATCCCAGCTAGAAATTCAGAAGATATTTTCCTTAAGTCATCTCTGTTATTTTCCTGCAAACCTCTAAGTCTTATTGCATATTCTGTGAAATTATATTGTATCTTTAGAACCTCTTTTTGAATCCTCTGTTCCAGATATTCTACATTACCAGACTTTTGGTCAGCATCCATTTTAAATTTTTCTTCTGAACTATAATCCTGAATATTTAACAAATCATTTTCAATTTTTTGAATTCTATTGTCCAATTTATCTTGAATTTCATCCATTTTTGACTCTAGTAAATTAGTATTTGTATCCAACCGAATCATGAATTCTGACAATTTTAAAATTTTTTGCTGCAAAAAGTCAAACTTGGATTTCACCAATTCCTTAGTTTCCTGCTTAAATTTTTCAAGTTGCTGATTCACAATCTCATCCCTTCTTTCAATCTCGTCTAAGAGAAATTCTATTATATTAAAATCAGGTTTCTGGGACTGAAGAGTTAAAACTTGTTGCTTTAAATTCTTAGTGGGGGAATCCCCCCCACCTATTTGTTTGTCTGACTTCACAAGCCTCAGTGCCATGTTTCCGCCTAAGCAGGCTTTGTTAGAAGAAGAAAAAAAAAAAAACAAGACAAAAGACTTCCAGCCAGCAACACTCAAGCCTCCAGGGAAAAAAGAGAAAAACAAAAACAGGAGCGGAGTTTTGTCTACAAATGTAGCCAGTGGTATTTATTCCGCTACATTGTAATAATAAAAAACGGAAGAACTTTCCCTCTCAAACTCTTCTCCAGCCGCGGCAGACGCCATTTTAAAAAGAAACTTTTTTCCTCTTTCTCTTCCTCTATTCTCTTAAGTAATTTTTAAAAGATAAGTAAAATACTTGCGCTTCAGTATTACAGGTCCAGCTCACATTTTCTTTGAGTAATCTGTCAAATTCGCAGGCTTGCTTTTGACGCCTGGCTCTGCATTAGCAGAGGTCTCCCAAAGCCCGGAGCAGCGGCTGGGGATATGGGGCATCTCATCCGCTCCATCCCAAAAGTAAAAGAAAAACTTTTGGGACTCTGCAGAGAGTTCTACCCACCCCTGCCGGCTCTATCTCCGTTCCCTCATGGGAACGGAGTTTTTTCGAGCCGCCGTTCCGTTGTGAAGGCGGCTCTGACAGGCAGTGGAAGCTGACGATCCCAAAGGAACGTCTGGCGGCGGCCAGCAGCAAACAGGAAGTCCTCTAACAACTTTCTTTAGTTGGCTCCACAGATTTTAAATTGGGTGAAGGTCTGGGCTATTCCCAGGCCATTCCAGCAATGGAATAGGATTATCTTGAAACTCAAAAAAACAAACAAAAAAAAGTGTTATTAGCCATCAAACTTCAAAAATACTTTTCCCAAAAGGTTTCCACAATTTTGGCCTCTACTGTAAGTTTTCCAGCTGACAAGCTCAACTTTAACCACTGGCCCAATATTCCCCCAATATACTGTAATTTCTAAACTCTCACAACACTGAAAGTGTGATCCCAGGGCTTCTTAACTGAACTGCTGTTCAGTTCAACGGGGTAGAAGTGATTTTTCTAGAAAACCATAGCTGACAAGCCTCTATTTGAGGTTGCTTCCATTAGCATCCAAACCAGGAAATTACAGCCTAGAACAGACCATGTACCATTTCTGTAAAAGTACATCTACCACGTTCCAATGAAGGGATTTATATGGATAAAATTAGAATAGAATAGAATAACAGAGTTGGAAGGGACCTTGGAGGTCTTCTAGTCCAACCCCCTACTTAGGCAGGAAATCCTACACCACTTTAGACAAATGATTATCCAACATCTTAAAAACTTCCAGTGTTGGAGCATTCACTACTTCTGGAGGCAAGTTGTTCCACTGATTAATTGTTCTAACTGTCAGGAAATTTCTCTTTAGTTCTAGGTTTCTTCTCTCCTTGATTAGTTTCCATCAGGGGTGAAATCCAGCAGGTTCTGGAGAACTGGTAGCGGAAATTTTGAGTAGTTCAGAGAACTGGCAAATATCACCTCTGGCTTTTCCCCAGAGCGGGGTGGGAATGGAGATTTTGCAATATTCTTCCCCCAGGAGTGGGGAGGTAATGGGGATTTTGCAGTATCCTTCCCCTGGAGTGGGGTGGGAATGGAGAATTTACAGTATCCTTCCCCTGCCACGCCCACAAAACCACACCATGCCCACCAAGCCATGCCCATAGAACCAGTTGTAAAAAAAATTGGATTTCACAACTGGTTTTCACCCATTGCTTCTTGTTCTACCCTCAGGTGCTTTAGAGAATAGCTTGACCCCCTTTTCTTTGTTGCAGCCCCTGAGATATTGGAAGACTGCTATCATGTCTCCCCTGGACCTTCTCTTCATTAAACTAGACATACCCAGTTCCTGCAACCGTTCTTGGTATGTTTTAGTCTCCAGTCCCCTAATCATCTTCGTTGCTCTTCTCTGCACTCTTTTTAGAGTCTCAACATCTTTTTTATATCATGGCGACCAAAACTGGATGCAGTATTCCAAGTGTGGCCTTACCAAGGCCTTATAAAGTGATATTAACAGTATTTAAACAGTATTTAAAGGTATTGCATTGGATTGTTCCTACAAGGGGAGAGCAATCCCTGTGGTAAATAATTAACCTTAGGAGCATTTTTTTTTTTTAAAAGGAAGCCTCTATAAGGAGGGTCTCTTTATTTCTTGGATAACTTCAAGATACCTGTGAAGATCTGCTTTTGAAAAAGTCCTCCAGCAAGTGCTATAAAGAGAAAAAATTAATAGTTTTGCCCCTTCGGGTTCGTTCCATCCACGTCAAAGTCATTGTCAGTCATTTCCGTGCATCCTGAGGGAGGGTAACAGTAACAGAGTTGGAAGGGATCTTGGAGGTAATCTAGTCCAATGCCCTGCTCACTCAGGAGACCTATACTAGGGATTCGAACCGCCGAACTGCCGACTTTTCTGATCGACAAGCTCAGCGTTTTAGCCACTGAGCCACCTAGCCAGGCAGATGTCTTCCCTCTCTTCAAAACTGCTTTCACTTAGCAGATTAAAGAAAGACCAGATATCCAGAGTCTTCTAGGACTTTCTCTCCTGCTTATCTGCAAGCAAACTGACTGACTCTTAGATACTGTTGACTCCAGAAGCTTATAAACTTATCACCAACTATCCAGGAAATTATAATTATTGCAACCCACCCTTCAGAAAAATCACTAGGCCTCAAATACGCTCATAAAATACTCAAAACAGGAGATTTGGCTCTTGAAAAAGTCCCTGAGTTTTGTTGATTTCCTGCCAGTCAGAGTAGACAATATTGGTCTAGAAGTGCATTTAGTCTGATTTGAGATAAGTCTGGTTTTCTGTAGATATAAAAAAAGAAACGTACGGCTGAGATAATATATATTCACTCCTTTAAAGGAAGGATTTGTTTAAATAAAATAAATCCATATATTTATTTTTGCTACTGAAATGGATCGAAAAAAATGTAGTCTTTTTTCCCCTCATGTAATTTATGACCGGCATTTCCAGTTTCCTTATAGCTCTGAGAAAATGTTTAATGAATTTTAACAAAGGCATTCTATTTTCAGATTTCAGTCTTAGCGGTTTTATTTGATTCCCAAATGAAGTCATCAAACAAAAAAATGAAATATTATTCAGCATGATATTCAGAACTCTCTCGATCTCTTGTAAATGAGCTCTCTAATTCATTAATGGTTATTCAAGGAAGGTCATCCAAAAAGCTGGTTCTGAATTGTTAGGGTATTGATCAACTGCATTAATCTCATTTTACAATAAAATATCTCAGTAATCCATATAGGAATATCTTTCTTTGGGGGGTGGGGAGTCTTCTAAGATGCATTTTCTAAGAAAACATGCCAGTTTGAAACTAATCTAGATCCAATACGGGCTAACCTGACCAATTTCATATTTTTCCCCCCAAGTAATCCTTCTAATCCTCATTAGTTTTATTCTTCCCATTGAATTTATGGATTTATGAGAAATTTTCCTCTACTGAGACTTTCTAAAGCTTGATCAGAAAAGACCAAAGAATGTTTCAAAGCTTGCACTTTTCCAGAGGATACAAAGTTGATATTAAAAGAAAAAGGGTTGGGGAGAGAAAAACAGTAATATAAGCATTTATCTTCAAAACTTGTTTATCAAATATCAGAGAAAACAAGGAATTCAGAGAACTTTTCAATGTGTAAATAAATAAAATCTGTTGTGAAATATGGTGTTTGATTAAAAAACATCACTATTTTACAACTTAGGATGAATGGAATGCTGTCCCAGAATGAGAAAATTCAGGCACAATGAGAACCGAAGATCATGAAGGAAAGAACAATTGAAGACAGCAAGAGTGCCCTAGCTTAATTAGCAAGGTAGCTTAATTTGTCTTGTGTCAATACCAATCAAGATAGCTTAAACTGTCTTGCGTCAATACCAATCAAGTGGCAGGGTTCAATCCAGAATGCCAGCGGAAATACAATGTCAGTCCTCCTATGGGTAAATGAAATGGGCACAGACTGTGTGACACCAAAGTTCACAGATGAAACAAATCTAAGCCAATACTGGAGGAGTTGATATCAACTCGTAGCCTTTTAGATATAGGGTATAAACTCTACACACCTTATTCTGTATCTAAGAATAGTCTGTATCTAACCTTGGCAACTTTAAGACCTGTGGACTTCAAGTCCCAGAATTCTACAGCCAGCCATGAGAATTCTGGGAGATGAAGTCCACAAGTGTGGTATAAAGCTCTACACACCTGATTCTATATGTAAGCAGGGGTGCCCAACCTTGGCAACTTTAAGACTTGTGGAATTCCCATGGCTGGGTGGAGAACTTTGGGAGTTGAAGTCCATAGGCCTCAAAGTTGCCAAGGTTGGATACCCCTGATCTAACGTATATCAAGCAGAGATCTACTTACCCCTCCTTGAAAAGGTCCAATGATGGTGAAGTCATACATAATGTTTAAGTACAACAGATTATTTATTATCCTAACAACCACCACTCTTCAAAAGCCTTAAGAAAGACACAGCTAGGTTGACCAAATCTACAGCTTCTAATGAAGGCTTTACACACTATCATCTGGGTGTATGTTCATGGATTATTATAGCTGTACATGATTTTTGTTTTTTTACACATAATTGCCTGACACCAATAGAAGATAAGGGCTTCCATCATGCATTTTGCACTAGGATATCTGTTTCGATGATTCTTGGCTTATCGTACCCATGAATCAAATGCATGGAGTCCGCCAGTTAAGGGGATCGACTTACGAAACCAGAGCACATCATGTTTAATGTTTTCTTTTCTTTGTCTTTACAATAGGGCCAAGGTAGCAAAAATATTAAAACACTGACCTTTTCTTCTGAAATGAAATTTACAACTTGAGCAGCGTCTCTGGTCAACTAATACATATCTTTATAAACCGGATGAAAACTATACAGTATTTAAAAGTATTAACATAATGCGATCGATCTCTGAAATGAAATGTGTACCGAAATTCCTCACCACAGTTGCAAAATACCCTGATGCTACGGAAACCAACCTACGAACAGCAATAAATCCTCTAAACTGGTAGAAGTTTTTATTATTATTAATATTATTATTATTATTTTGTTTTCTTCCTTTCTTCAACTGAATTCAAGTAGTGTAGGAGGAACTGGTATATGCCTTTTAATTCACAGGGCAGGCAAATACAGGAGCTGTTTCTTGGGGTTTTTTTCTGTTTTTGTTTTCCTCTGTTCCACGTAGGCGAAATGTTCCAGCTGACCTATAAGTCTGTGGAAGTTAGCTTTTTCATGCTTCTTCGCTGAGCCAAGCTTGAAGCTGCAACAGGTTCCAAAACAGGCTGAAATGTCTTGTTATTCAGTGCAGAATAGGTAGCAGCCATGGCCCCCTGGGACATAATGACATTAAAGGACAAATCAACCCGCCATCCTCAATCACCATTAAGATACAGACCTCTGTACCCTCTGCCAACTTTACCTTCACTAGATGTGGCGCGTCTTGCCTATTTAACTGATAATGTGGCAGCTGATCTCTACAAGCTATCCATGAATGCTTGAGAACTTGCTCTGCGGTGTATCTCTGGTGTGGATCTACATGTAGCATATGAGATAGCAAATCCTGGATCAAACAGATAACAAGAGTTTCTAAGTACAACTTAGAGAAAGAGGAGGTTACAAAGAGTTGAACGTGGCCTTCGTGATATTGTCACTCCTATCAGGATCATAGCAGTCATCCTTCCACCCCAAGGTTTCCATGCTACTGGTGCCAGGCCTGGAAGCCATCTTTTTCGTTGGATCTTCAGGCCTGCCACATTTCCTACTGTGGGAAACTGGGAGGGGGGATTATATGGAGCAAGGGTGATATATAGTCATAATAACATTCCTTTCTCAGAGAGTCAAGGACGTCTTGCCCTGCACTTAGAGGGAAGTGGGAGGCATCTCCAGTTGGAACGGTGCTTTGATTGGACCACGTGATGGACATGTGGATGCTGGGCAGGGACTTGGACTTTCCTTTGGGTGGGGAAAACCTGGAAGCTTTCAGATTCGGGTTTTCCCAGATGTACCAATATGACATCTCTAATAAAATGGAACTTTGAGGAAACTCAAGCCTCGGAGTCTTCTTTCATTGGGGGTGTTCCTTGGAAGCCTGACATTAACCCGAATCTTGACAACTGGATTCTAATGGTAGCAGCAAGGAATATCTTCATCAGTGAATGTCAGGGTCCCTTCCTGATTTCAGAGGGAACCAAAATGTGGCATAGAGGTATGGATGACCCCAAAAGACAGGGAAGCTTAACTGGGAAGGAGCAGTTAAACTTTCTGAAAATGGGATGCTTCTGAACCGGAAACAGTTCATTCTTAACAGGCCTTCATCGTAACTCTCCCTTTTGCCACCTTAAATGGAAAGTGATATAACTTGCATGCTACAGACTTTTAAAACAAAATGAATGGGAAGCTCAAAGTAGAATTAATATGCACCCTGAATAGCGTATTATCTCATTGGATGTATCTATTACAATAATTTGAATAATATTACATACAAAATCAAAATAATTTGAATAATATTACATACAAAATCATGAAGCAGACCTGAATTTCAGTTTTTAGAAGAGGTAGAACAGGGAAAGCATCCTATATCAAGTTGCATGGGAAAATGACACACTGTACACAAACTGCTTAGAATTTACATAATATATTGGAACATCTACATAATATAAATCAAACGAAACTTATTCAGCCTGAGATTCAGGTATGGAAAAATTCCGGCTTGTGTTTTTTAAAAAATAAACGGAATAATTTTAGCATGTGTATGCCAAGTTACTTTAGCACAGGCATGCTAAGTAAATCTTACAAAAGATTTAAGGTCCAAAAGTACCTTGCTTTTTAGATAAAGTTAAATATCTAAATAATTTAAATAATAAAGTCAAATATTTGTAGAAAATGCTTTAAAATTATTTATAAAAGGTGGTGGCAGGTTTCTTATTACTGATCACTAACCAAAACATGCATTCATGGGGAAACTCTTGATTTAACTGACATTTTGGAGAAGAGGATGGACATTGCTTACGAATGCCTGTTAAATCCAAATTTATGATAAACTGCATCTTTTTTCATCTTTATGAAGTGATTTATTTATTAGTGTCTATGGCATGAAACATCAGGATGCCACAGGATTGGCCTATTATTTGGGAGCAATATCTACATATAAATTTTGTCCAGTGTATATTAACGTGGTGGAATCGAAAAGTTGAATCATGACAACTGGACCAAAATTTGACCATCCAGGAAGCTTCATAGGTCAAAATAAAATTTAAAAAAAGTTGGGCAGAGAGTCAGAAAGTCACTGGAATGCACCAGCTCTTGCCATACCAACTTCAGGGGTGTCTCTCCAAAATGTATTGTTGCCATGATTCAATCTTTTAGATACCTTTGGCCTGGATGATTGAGTTTTCATTGACATAATGTGATGGAATGTAGCCTGGATTCCCAAACAGGAGAGGGTGCATTCCAGAGGAGCAAGAGACAACTCAGTTCAGATTGTTTGTGTGAGAGAAAGTGGGTGAAGACCGTTCATCCCTAAGAGTTCCCAGGGTATATAGATAGATTCTATGTATAGGTGAAGAACAATAAAGAAATCACTTGGAAGAATCATAAAGTGTATTTCTTGATTTTTGGAACCTGGCATTGAAGTATATTAAATTTTAACCAACGGTTCATCTGCAATTGTGTTTACACAGCTGCCTGTATCTTCTCTCTATATATATATAAATGGCTGTGTGTGTGTGTGTGTGTGTGTGTGTGTGTGTGTGTGTGTGTGTGTGTTCCAGCATAACTCTGGAACGCCTCGAGCAATTTCAACCAAACTTGGTACACAGATGACTTACTCTCTGGAAAAAAATATTGTGGTGGTAAAACACCCCTAACACCCCTTGGTGTGTCTCTCTGTGTGTGTGTGTTCCAACATAACACACACAAGTCTGGGCCGCTGAAATGAAAAGGAATGAATTATATCTATAGTGTCAAATCACAGTACTTTTGTCAGATAGTGTGCATTTTGGATTCAAGGTAAGATACAGCCTGTTGTGCCTTAAAATGGCTTCTACTGTACAGCACAGTGGAGTTGCCATGGTAACGGCTTCACAGTACTCCACAAGGGGGCTCCCTCTGGTACGGGGGATTGGTTCTTAAATATCCAGGCAACGCCTGGTTATCAGTTAGTAAAGAATAAAATAAAAATATGTTGATACCTTTGCAGCATCTGACACAGTGTCCCAATTGCCTCCACTTAAAGAAAATTTTCCACTACCTATCCGTAACAAGATTTCTTCTGGAGTATCATTGGGTCCATTCGCAAAAGGTGTGTACCTAAAATTATTTTTAAGAAAGGATGTTAGTTTCTTTTGCATAAGTAGTTCAGAAACATAGATGGAACTTGCTGATTTAGGACAGATTTCATACTCTGGTTGATCCTATAAAATAAGCAGAAGAGTCGTGGCTTTGAACATCTGCAAATTCATAGCTATGTCAACATGTGAAAGGCGCATCTCACCCTGCCAGCATTGTATAAAGAAGAACACCCAAGCTCCAAATATCACAAGCAGCATCATAGCCTTGCCTCATGAGGACCTAGAAGATGAACAAAAACTCCATGTTATTGTTAGAAAGACGAACCTTCACCACATTCAGATTTAGAAGTAAATTTAAATCAGTGTTTTTCACCTTGGCCACTTTTTAAGTTGCATGGACTTCAATTCCCAGAATTCCCCAACCAGCATGTTGATTGGGGAATTCTGGGAATTGAAGTCCATGCATCTTGAGGTAGCCAAGGTTGAAAACACTGATTTAAACTAATGACCACTTTGCTGCTTAAATAAAATAGTTACCTTCTCCTGAAATGCTGCAGTAGTATCATCTTCTTTTAATGACTCCATAATCCCTTGAGGGGTGGAGTCTGGGCAACTGAATGGAGCTGAATGTTTACTGGCCAGATGCCCTTCCTGTCGCCAATGCAGAGTTTTTTTCAGCAGATACATTCTCTGAGAGAAATATCTGTCTCTACATAGGATTGAACTCACAGCCTCCTGATTGTGAGGCGAGAGCTCCACCTGTAGGCCACAGCACCACTCAAATGCTGCAGTAGTATACAGAACAATAATCAATATTCAACTGAATTCTGGGTTTCCATGTTTGTTTCTATACATTAAGAAGCCCATTTATGCATGCTCTTACAGTAGTGGCCAAAATTGTGGAAACCTTTTGGGAAAAGTGTATTTTCTAAAACTAGCTAATAACACCACTTTTTGGGGGAGTAGTACCATAACATTATACATCAATGGAAAGATCATTTAATCAAGAATTTAATGCAATCACTTTGATAAAGGATTTGCTATTAGAATAGCAGTTACAGTATAAAGAAGAAAAGTCAAACACGGAGAAAAAACGAAATATACAAAAATTATCTCCATAGAAAAAAACGAGATATACAAAAATTATCACTATGTCAGTTAATACTTAGTTGGGTAACCTTTAGCATGAATGACGGCCTTACAACATCTTCCCATGGAGTGAACCAAGTCTTTTAGTTCTGCAGCTGTTATCATGTGAAACCAAGATTGAATGATTGCTTCTATTAACTGGGTTTTATTGCTGGGTCGCTTCTGACTAACAAGTTTCTTTAGACGGCTCCATAGATTTTCAATTGGGTGAAGGTCTGGGCTATTCCCAGGCCATTCCAGCAGTGGAATAGGATTATCTTGAAACTCCCCCCAAAAGTGGTGTTATTAGCCATCAAACCTCAAAAATACACTTTTCCCAAAAGTTTTCCACAATTTTGGCCACTACTGTATGTGAGAGAATAAATCAATTATTATGTTGCAAGGAACAACAGAGCAAAGCAATCTACCCCGCAAACTCGTGAAATACAAATACTTTCCTGGAGATTTAAAAAGACGATTTGTAAAACCAAACAGGATAATGCATACCTCTGGTGCCACAAAATTAGCAGTGTAGCATGGTGTTAAGAGAAGCCCATTCTCTCCCCGAAGTTGCTTTGCAAAGCCGAAATCGCAAATCCTGATGGAATCAGCATTATTGGAATCATCCATATACAAAATATTACTTGGTTTAAGATCCCGATGCACAACCTTAAAAAAAAAAAACACATATAAAACCCAACTATTTTGGCTGAAATCAGGGAAAAAAAACCATTTTAAAAGATTGAGTAATTCTATCAACTCAGGATTAACAAGGGGAATAGAATGAATGATTGAATGTTTAAATCCAATTTCTAAAAAAAAATAAAATGAGATTTCAAAATTAGGCACAGACCACAGAATCAATTTACCCAGCTGTCATTTAAAAAGTTAATCATTAAACCCGATTCTCTCTTTTGCTTACAAACACCTACTTCTAAATCAAGTTTGTTTGTTTACTTATTTATGGATTGATTGATTCATTCATTCATTCAATTTGTACGGCCGCCCAACACAACAACTGACTTTGGGTCAGTTTGTTTGTCTTAAAAACAAACAAACTCTAATTTTGCCTCCAGCAATTGCCAGCTCAATTCTAAAATACAATAACCAGGGGTGGGCTTCAAAAATCTTAGCAAGGGGTTCCCTGCCTGGTTGCTGGGTGGCCGTGGCCATGGCCTAGTCAGCCTCCTGCACCACAGTGGGAGCGTTTTTGTCCTCCCCAGGCTCCGGAGGCTTTTTTTGAGCCTCCGGGAGGGCAAAAACGGCTGCTCCAGGCTCCGGAGGCCCTCTGGAGGCCATAAACGGGCCTGTTTCCGGCCTTCCTGAAATTCTGGTAGGCCCGTTTTTCACCCTCCCCAAGCCTCCATGTGCACCATGCAATTTACCTGCATCCAAAATGGCCCACCTGGGGACTCCTGGGAGGGGCAGGGCAGGGCCAGCCAGGAGTGGGATTTGGGGGTTCTCCAAACTGCACAGAATCTTAGCTAGAGGTTCTCCCGAACCCCTGCGGCCCATCCCTGACAATATCCCACCTAGCTTTATTATACAGACCAGTCTCTGGTTAGCACTTGTCCTCAAATCAACTCATTTTCTGAAATGATATACAGTACATGTAAGAAAATATAAGGACTTCAGTTTGTTTATTTGGTGCCTTTGAGTCAATGTTGACTCCTAATGTCTACCTGCGTCATTTTTTGCGGTTTTCTTGGCAAGGTTTGAGAACTGCTGTTTCCTTGCCTTCTTTTCTTCTCTTCTGAGAGAGACTGGCCCAAAGTCACCCAGCTGGCTTTCATGCCTAAAGTGGGATTATAATCATGGTTTCCCTTGGTTTCTGGAGTGATGCTTTAACCCGTCACCAAACTGGCTCTTCAGGATTTCAGTACATGGATATTTATTTATATATTTAAAAGATTCTCCCAAAGGTGCTTTTTTCAGGAGGCAACTGGACTTCCTTGTTTTTCTCTTTTGAAGACGTTTCGCTTCTCATCCAAGAAGCTTCTTCAGATCTGACAGGATAGTGGAGAATCGAAGGATTTATATTCCTTGCAGACAGCTGGTCCTTTGCATCCTTTTAGAGCCGTGATGGCGAATTTATGGCATGCGTGCCAGAGGTGGCATGCAGAGCCCTCTCTGTGGGCATGCGTGCCATCACCAGCTACTATTCCAGGTTCTGTCCTGCGCATGGCATGCGCAGCAGCCAGCTGTTCTGTTGCGGGTTCCAGCATGCTCATGCACGCCGACCAGCTGGTCTTTGTGTGAAGGTCAGCTGGGCAGCGTGCATGCGCACAACGGAACCCGGAAGAGCAGCTGACTGCCGCCCGCATGCGCACCAGCCAGCTGTTCTGTTCTGGGTTCTGGCACTCAAGCGCGTGAGCACTCCAGTTTCGGCACTTGGTGCTGAAAAAGTAAACCATCACTGTTTTAGAGAGTCCTTGAAGCACTTGGAGGTTTATCTGTGTCCTCAGGGTCACCTGAAGTGATGCTCTTGGTTCCTGTAGTCTGCAATTTAATCCTACTACAGGAACCAGGAGCACTACTCAGGTGAGTCTGAGGACATAGATCACTAACCAACTGGTTGTCCCAAAGGTGCTTTTTTCAGGAGGCAACTGGACTTCCTTGTTTTCTCTTCTGAAGACGTTTTGCTTCTCATCCAAGAAGCTTCTTCAGCTCTGACAGGATAATGGGGAATGGAAGGATTTATCTTCCTTGCAGACAGCTGGTCCTTTGCATCCTTTTAGAGGGTCGTAGAAGCACTTGGAGGTTTATCTGTGTCCTCTGGGTCACCTAAGTGCTGCTCCTGGTTCCCGTAGTCTGCAATTTTTCTCTGGAAATCCATTCCTACTCCCACACCATTCAAAGGATGTTCATCCCAAATTGTGCAGCTAAAAATGGCAGACTCAGGTGACCCTGAGGACACAGATAAACTTCCAAGTGCTTCAACGACCCTCTAAAAGGATGCAAAGAACCAGCTGTCTGCAAGGAAGATAAATCCTTCGAATCTCCTGTCAGATCTGAAGAAGCTTCTAGGATGAGAAGTGAAACGTCTTCAAAAGAGAAAACAAGGAAGTCCAGTTGAAAAAGCTCCTTTGGGACAACCATGACTTGGATGACTGAGAAATCTCTAAGGTAAAGGTAAAGGTTCCCCTTGCACACATGTGCTAGTCGTTCCCAACTCTAGGGGGCAGTGCTCATCTCTGTTTCAAAGCCGAGAGCCAGCACTGTCCAAAGACGCCTCCATGGTCATGTGGCTGGCATGACTAAATGCCAAAGGCGCATGGAACGCTGTTACCTTCCCACCAAAGGTGGTCCCTATTTTTCTACTTGCATTTTTTATGTGCTTTCGAACTGCTAGGTTGGTCAGAAGCTGGGACAAGTCACGGGAGCTCACCCGCGTTACACGGCACTAGGGATTCGAACTGCTGAACTGCCGACCTTTCGATCAACAAGCTCAGCATCTGAGCCACTGAGCTACTGCTCAGTGGCTAACAGACATTTAAAAGATTCATTTATACGGCCGCTCATGATAAAGTACAGTTGCAGTTTACAGCAAGCATAAAGCCAAGATCGAAGCAAACCCTAAAAACATAAATCCAAAACTTAATTAAATTATCAAAATGTGGCCCAGCTTACTCCTTGACAGTGCAGTAGTCCACAGTTTTAGCGATAGTATACAAGACGGCACTCGCTTCGCGTTCTGAGAAATACTTCTGTCTGAGAATACGATCCAGGAGCTCCCCTCCCTTCATCAATTCTGTGACAAGGTAGATATATTTACCATCATCGTACACCTGTAGAAGTTTAATATAGTTGAGTAACACATACTTCAGGAGCGGGGTGTGAAACACAGGGTCTCCCTAGAGGCACACTCAACAGAAGAGGCTGACTTTCCACCAATACCATTTTTTTAAGGTGACAAAGATTCCAAATCTACTGAATAACCTTTTGCTGCTTCAGCCTGGCAGATGAGAGAATACTGAGGGATTGAGGAAACAACCAAATCATCATGTGCTAAATGAGGTTCTTTCCTTCACCATAAAGCAGAGGTGTCCGATCTTGGCAACTTTAAGACTTGTTGACTTCAATCCCAGAATTGATGGGCTGTGAAAATATCTACAGACCCCTTGCATCCTGGACATAAATTGTTTCAACTTCTACCTTCTTCTATAGGGCACTGCACACCAGAACAACTAGACACAAGGACAGTTTCCCCCCCGAATGCCATCACTCTGCTTAACAACTAATTCCCACAACACTGTCAAATAATTTACTAAGTCTGTATTACTATTATTCTTCTCTTCCTTACTAGTATCTATCTCTTCCCACTGATTACTATAACCATGTGCTTGTATCTTTCCATTTATATTGTTTTTATTTGTTTCCTAGTACGATTTGATAGCTTATTAGTAACCTTGACTATCACTAAGTGTTGTATTTTTTTATTCTTGATGAATGTATTTTATTTTCCTTAGATACACTGAGAGAATATGCGCCTAAGACAATCATACTTCCATGATAATAAATAATATATATTTCTATTATTCTATTCTATTCTATTCTATTCTATTCTATTCTATTCTATTCTATTCTATTCTTCCATTCCATTCCATTCCATTCCATTATTCTATTCTACTCTACTCTACTCTACTCTTCTACTCTACTTCTCTTCTACTCTACTCCACTTTCATTCTATTCTATTCTATTCTATTCTATTCTATTCTATTCTATTCTATTCTATTCTATTCTATTTATTCTATTCTATTCTATTCTACTCTACTCTACTCTACTCCTCTACTCTACTCTACTCTACTCTACTCTACTCTACTCTACTCTAGAATTCCCCAATTCTGAGAGTTGAGGTCTACAAGTTGCAAAGGATGGACATCCCTTCTATAAAGTTAATACAGATGAAATTACATTTCCACCCACAGACCTTTGTAGATGTACCACAACAAAGCCTATTTTTTAATCAAACAGAATCATATTTCAAATATCGAAGCTTCTCTTCTGCATCCCAGCAGAGGCTGGACCAGAGGAAAGGCCTTCATCCCATCAACAGCTACACTTTGTACGTGCTCTAGAAACCAAACAGAATACTTACATCTTTTAAAGTAATAATGTTAGGGTGCTGTCCGTACCGCATCAAGATTTCTATTTCTTCGGAAGGATCTCTTTTACTTTTGTCAATTATCTGGAGAGGGGAGAGACAATGGTCACAAGGAAGTGTGACAGGAGATTAAATTCAGCGCAACGAAGCACATTTCTATTTAAGAAAGAATACAACAGCCTCAGTTTTCAAGGCCACCTTGTAAACAAGGACACAGAAACAGCCTTCTTCCCTTTAATTCCCAGAATTGCGAAGCCAGCATCACAACTGAGTGCCGACAATTCTAGGCAGTTCTAGGTTAGAAGCATTATTATTATTATTATTATTATTATTATTATTATTATTATTAATTAAATTTATTAAATTAAATATCATTGAAAGATATCCCGAGCATTTCAAAACATTGGAATTCCTCAATTTTATAACGTGGACGCTGAATCTTTCTCTCTTTCTTTCCTACCTCAAGGCAGGTCCGCAGATGAGACATACTTTTGAGATACTTTAAAAAAGACGGATTAGATAGAAATAAGGCAGCAAACTTAAAAGGCCTGCCTAAGTAAGGGATCTGCCACTTCAAATCTTGAACTGTCTAAATGACAAGAACATCATGCTAATTGAACCCAACTGTCAGGCCAACAAAGAAGACTCCGAGGCTTGAGTTTCCTCAAACTTCCATTTTATTAGAGATGTCCTATTGGCACATCTGGGAAAACCCGAATCTGAAAGTTTCCAGGTTTTCCCCACACAAAGGAAAATCCAAGTCCCTGCCCAACACCACATGTCCATCACATGGTCCAATCAAAGCATCATCCCAATTGGAGATGCCTCCCAGTCACACACCTCCAGGTGCAGGGCAAGATGTCCTTGACTCTCTGAGAAAGGAATATTATTATGGCTATATATTGCCCTAGCTCCATACAATCCACACTCCCAGTTTCCCACAGTAGTAAATGCGGCAGGCCTGAAGATCCAATGAAAAAGATGGCTTCCAGGCCTGACACCAACAATTAATAGACACAACTCATGTACTAAAGTTTTACACTATGCCAATAAAATGGAAATAGAGAGGACTGGGATTGGCCTGCTCCACTGGTGCCGTCAGTCCAAGTATTCTGGCTGGCGGGATCCAGGGGAAGGGCCTTCTTTGCCATTGCACCTGCTCTCTGGAACATTTAGCCTCCAGTGTAAGGTTGGTTAGAACCTGAAGACCTGGTTCTGCCAGATAGCTTGGGGCTTCAATGGGGCAACATCACAGTGGAGATGGTTGATAGATTTACAATAGATCCCACTTCCCCACCCCACCTATCCTGCTCCCGGTCTCCCCATCTTTATTTGGACTGTAGTGTTTGGCTTTGTATTAACTTTGTTTTTAGTACATATAGTTTTTTATCTTTTATAATTGTAAGCCTCCCAGAATTAACCAGTTTTAAGATGGGCAGCCAATGAATGAATGAATGAAATACCAGCAATAGTAAAATATCCTTCCGGCAATTATCTTCTTAATGTTAAAGTTCTAAATAGCACATCCACAAATAATTGAAGATAATAACATGTCAACCCCCAAGAAAGAAGCATATATTACCAATGTTTCATTACCCGAATTAGGTTAACATCATCAGTGCTAGGAGGGAGTAAGGTTTGCTCTCATTTTACATCTTTAAGAAGAGGTTGGATAACCATTTGTCTGAAGTGGTGTAGGGTTTCCTGCCTGGGCAGGGGGTTGGACTAGAAGACCTCTAAGGTCCCTTCCAACTCTGTTATTCTATTCTATCCTATTCTACATAAAAGAAAGCAAACCCCTCTCTTTAGTAGCACTGATGATATTACATGGGTGGGTAATAAAACATCTACAAGCAAACAACCAAGCTCAGAGGGCACCAAGGATCCCACAGTTTAACCTTGAGCTACAAATATTCTCCTCTATTGGTATCATACATTGCCAAATTTGCAGCTTAGATGTTTAGAAAAAAAATGAGTCCTGTTCCTTTATATGGTCATTCTAAATAAGATGAAAAGAACCCAAACCTTAATTTAATTTAAAATGGTGAAGAGCTATAAAACGTTTATTAAATGCAGGCTAATTTATGTAGGTTGTTAAAGATGTTTAGATATTTAAACATGATTGTCAGGGTTCCAAGTAATACACTCATAGCAAAGAGAACTCTGAGGCAAGCAGGTTCCTCAAAGAACAAATATTGGCACAAACTGGTGAAAACCTGTTGTGGCTCCGTTGCCTGAGCCTGGGCTATCGACAGATGCAGACTCTGAGAGTGAGGGAGAGGAGTTGGCAAGGCCTCCCTCTCCAGGACCCTCCTCTCTGGCAATGCCTCCGGAGGACACCGAAGGCCAAACGATAGGCTCAGAGCCAAGCACGTCCCCGCAGCCACAGGTGGACAGCGACGAAGGAGATAAGTGCTGACTGGATCCTCGGCAGAGGCGCAGGGAGAAGCGTGCGCAGCAGAGGGGAAGGCGTGCCAGAGATTAGCTGAGTCACTGGACCACACCCCACAGGGTATAAATGTGGGTGTGGTGGCCGGTTCAGTTTGTGACGAGCAAAAACTAGAAATAATCCATGATCTCTGCGTTACTGGACTTCTGCCTGCCTTGTCGGACTGCATTTGGACTAATCCTTGTATTGCTGAAACTTTGCCTGCTTTATCGGAATGCTTGCAGTCTAATCTTTGTTTTGTGTGAGTAAAGTCTGAATTGGCAGCTAGCCACTGGGTTGCTGCCAGCTTTATCTTCAAAGATTTTGTCGTGTGGCTTATTAACTCTGGGCCGTCTGTGGGGGTGCGTGTGTGGGACGGGGACAGAACAAAACCGACTCTAAAGGTTCCCATGGTTTTCACCTAATTAAAAGTAAAAGTTTTTCCCCTTTCCCCCAAACCATCGGTCACATGGTCCGATCAAGGTGCTGTCTGGTTGCTTGGAAACTTCACTCCTCCTCTCTTCAGCCACCCGGGGGAATGATCTTGGTTCTCAGGGGAAACTATTTTGTTTTGGCTACAGAACTCCAACTATCTCTACTCCCCCCGCCCCCCTATTCCTCATCACCATTGTGGCAACACTGGAGCCTCTAAGATGGCCTCAGCTAGGCCAGCTTCAGAGTTGCCAGTGATGTGGGGAAAAAAATAGTGTCCTACATCAGTGGTGAAATTTCTTTTACTACCGGTTCTGTGGGCATGGCAGGGGAAGGATATTGCAAAATCTCCATTCCCACCCCACTCTGGGGCCAGCCAGAAGTGGTATTTGCTGGTTTTCCGAACTACTCAAAATTTCCGCTACCGGTTCTCCAGAACCTGTCAGAACCTGCTGGATTTATTAACAAGAGCCTTGGTGGAGCAGCAGACTAAAGTGCTGTTATAGTAGCACTTAGCTGCCAGCTGCCTGCAATTACTGCGAGTTCAAATCTCACCAGGCTCAAGGTTGACTCAGCCTTCCATACTTCCGAGGTAGGTAAAATGAGGACCCGGATTGTGGGTGCAATAAGCTGACTTTGTATAAAAAAGAACACCGCTAAACAGGTATATACAAAAGTATGAAGGCTATTGCTTAACGCATTGTAAGCCACCCTGAGTCTCCGGAGAAGGGTGGCATATAAATCGAACCAATAAATGAATAAACAATAAAGATTTCACCCCTGTCCTACATACCTTCACAGCAAATTCCATATTGGAAACTGTATGGATGCAGCGCTTACACACCGAGTAGGAGCCCACTCCAATGTCTTCTTTAAGTTCATAGGCATCTGTGAAGAGTGCACTGCTCCCATGAAGTTGCTAAAGAACACAGTAAAACAACTTTTAAAAGCTTGCAATTATTTCATAAACTTTTTCGGAACGTTTCTGCAGGCACCCTACACTTCTTATCAGCTCCATATCATTTGGACTTGTGAAAAGAAATATAGTAGTTAAGGGCAGAGGCAGACCTAAAACGACCAACTTTTGGGCCATTTTATCCTTTTTAAGTTTTTTTTTTTTAATAATAATAATAATTTTATTTCTATACCGCCCTTCTCCCGAAGGACTCAGGGCGGTGTACAGCCTATTTAAAAACACAAAAAACACGACAACAATTTAAAATTTAAAATCATTAAATAATTAGGCTCCAATTAAAATCCCAGAAATTTAAAATACCCCAATTTAAAACGTTATGTTAGTAACCCTGCCTGGCGGAACAACAGGGTCTTCAGAGCGCAGCGAAACACCCGGAAGTCGGAAATCTTTCGTATTTCGGGGGGCAGTTCATTCCACAGGGCTGGAGCTCCCACAGAGAAGGCCCTCCCCCTGGATGTCGCCAGCCGACATAACTTGGCTGATGGCACCTGGAGGAGACCCTCTCTGTGGGAGCGGACTGGTCAGTGGGAGGCTATTGGTGGCAGAAGACGGTCTCGAAGGTACCCGGGTCCTATGCCATGGAGCGCTTTAAAGGTGGTAACCAACACCTTGAATCGCACCCGGAAGACCACTGGGAGCCAGTGCAGCTCGCGCAGGAGGGGTGTCACGTGGGCGCAACGGGTTGCACCCATAACCACCCGCGCGGCCGCATTCTGGACCAGTTGGAGCCTCCGAGTGCTCTTCAAGGGGAGCCCCATGTAGAGAGCATTACAATAGTCCAACCGGGAGGTGACAAGGGCGTGAGTGACCGTGCGCAAGGCGTCCCGATCCAGAAAGGGCTGCAACTGGCGAATCAGGCGAACCTGATAAAAGGCCCCCCTGGCCACGGCCGTCATATGCTCTTCTAAAGACAGCCGTGCGTCCAGGAGGACACCCAGATTGCGAGCCCTCTCTGTGGGGGGCAAAGATTCACCCCCAATAGTCAGCGATGGCACCTGCTGACTATATCGGGGCGCCGGAAGCCACAGCCACTCGGTCTTGGAGGGGTTGAGTCTGAGCCTGTTCCTCCCCATCCAGGCCCGCACGGCCTCCAGGCAGCGGGACATCACATCAAGGGCATCGTTGGGGTGGTCTGGGGTGGAGATGTACAGCTGAGTATCATCAGCGTACAGATGACACTTCACCCCAAAACCACGGATGATCTCACCCAGCGGCTTCACATAAATGTTGAACAGGAGAGGCGAGAGGACCGACCCTTGTGGCACTCCCCATGCGAGATGCCTCGAGGTCGACCTCTGTCCCCCTGCCAACACAAACTGCGAGCGGTCGGAGAGGAAGGAGGAGAACCACCGCAAAACGGTGCCCCCTATTCCTAACCCCCTCAACCGCTGCAGCATGATACCATGGTCGATGGTATCAAAAGCCGCCGAGAGGTCTAATAGGACTAGGACAGAGGAGCAACCCCTGTCCCGAGCCCTCCAGAGATCATCCACCAACGCGACCAATGCCGTTTCAGTGCTGTACCCCTGCCTGAAGCCCGACTGGTACGGGTCTAGATAGATAGCTTCATCCAGGTGCCGGGGAAGTTGTCGTGCCACCACGCTCTCAACAACCTTCGCCACAAAACGAAGGTTGGAGACTGGACGATAGTTGGCTAATTCAGCCGGGTCCAGGGAAGGCTTCTTGAGGAGGGGCCTCACTACCGCCTCTTTCAAGGCGGCAGGAAAGGCACCCTCACTCAGAGAAGCACTTATAATCCTCTGGAGCCAGCTTTTTAGGCTTAGTGGATGCAGTTTTAGGCTTAGTGGATGCAGTTGTTGATGCATCCCAACTGGTTCACAATTAACATTATATCAGACTTTGGTTGAATTTGGATTTAATACGTTAATCATTTCTCGCACTGTCGCACGCACAAAGGACACCTGATAATTGCGTGCGCATGCATGCCAGAAACTGTTCTGCCCCAGGCTACGGACCCCAAAGAACGCAACACACACAAACTCTATACAAAGCTTATTTTACTCAAATAACTCAGTCTTTATCAACCAAAGGCTGTTAATAAACTGTCTTAACAGCCTACCAGAATTCTAAGATAAGGTAATCACAGTCTTACTAGAGTTGGCAGAAAGCCCAGAAGCAATTTTGCAGAGAATCCAGACGCAAAGGAGATTGAACTCAAGTTGTTCCCTACAGCTTGCTGCAATCGGCGTTCCTCCTTAAATAGGCTAAGGCAGTGGCCAATTAGCCCCAAGCCTTACTCTCGAGGAGACCTCCTCCTGAGGAGCCACTCCTGCCTTTTGGCAGCTCTGCGCGCCTGTGCATTGAGAAGAGGCTCCTTCTTTTCATCCTCTTCACTTATGGGAGCTTCTGAAGGCCCTGGCTGAATCCCCGCCTCTGGCACCACAACTTCTCCAGCCTCCTCACTGTCCGATTCGAGCGCCAGCTGCACAGGCTGCTGGCGCAGCACCACACCAGCCTCCTCGTTGTCGGAATCAGTTACAATCTGCACAGGCCGCTGACGGGCCACAACAGAAACCTAGAAGAGGAATGGGCAACACCGTGCGTGCCAGGCAACATGGCTGACATGTGCCATAGGTTTGCCATCACAGGACTAGAAACTCTACACATACACACACCCTTTTTTTTTTTTACCTGTACTATTGGCAAAATGTTGTTGAGAGGGGTGATTCTGTGGTCTTCTATAGTGTTCGTTGCCACAAAACTGAAACCTTTGAAGAGCTGATGGGCATTGGCGCTTGGCGGGACTCCAGGAGAATCTTGATTAAAATGGAACAGTATGACACGTTAGAATTGGCCAACATATAATGCAAAATATTCTATATCATCATGCCGATTTATCAAAGAATCCTCTTTCGGAAAGATGGCAAATCTAACCATCCCTTTTGAGTGTTGTAAGAAAGAAGACAATTAAGGCTTGATTTTTTTTTAAAACAAAAAACAAATAATTAGCATGGACAGGGAGGGCTTATATTCGAGAGGAGGCTTATTTTAATGCATGCGCTCAAAAGCCCGATTGTGCTTATTATCAGGGGATGTCTTATTTTTGGGGAAACAGGGTAGGTCTAAGAGCTATTGCTAATACTATTGTCCCTTCCTTCCTTCCTTCCTTCCTTCCTTCCTTCCTTCCTTCCTTCCTTCCTTCCTTCCTTCCTTCCTTCCTTCCTTCCTTCCTTCCTTCTCTCCCAGTGGTTAGAATGCAGTATTGCAGGATAATTCTGTCCTCTGCCAAGAGTTCAATCCTGACCGGCTCAAGGTTGATTCAGCCTTCCATCCTTCCGAGGTGAGTAAAATGAGGACCCAGATGGTTGGGGGGCAAAGATGCTGACTCTGTGAATCGCTTAGAGAGGGCTGTAAAAGCCCTGTGAAGCGGTATATAAGTCTAAGTACTATTACCTTTGGGAGTTTTTGCTGTGAATTCTGGGTCAAAGCAAAATGTATCTTCCGGTCTTCCAGAAGCAGGTTTAAATGGAGGCTGGATCTCCGTCCTGTAAAGTTTCTGGAATCAGAATCACAGAAGATTATTTCACCATAGATTACCGTGGATTTATATTGTTTTTCTAATGGGAAGTTCTTTGCTTCAGCAGGTTCCATTTTAGAAACATTTCCTTTCTGTGCCTGTGCCTCTTCCCACACTTGTGATTGTCCCCAGAGCCATCTGGAGACACAGAAAGAGGAATGAATCAAACTCAACATCTCCTTCTATTACAGAAGAGTTTGGTTCTTCAAAGAGACTTATTGAGGAAAGGAAAACTACTGGATGCGAGTATAAATATTCTCTAAGCAATAGGCAGTCATTAGCGAATGAAAAGGTATCATGCTTTTCTTGAACCTGCGTTCTCCCCCGTTTCTATAAACATTTTTGAAAAGCTTCTAAATGCTATGAAAAGAAATAAAAAAAATATGTACTATTAGATACATTTTAGGTGCAAAAGAAGAGGAAGTGGGGGAGGAGAGGGGAGGGGGAGGAAGAGGCAGAGAAGGAGAAGAAGGAGGAGGTGGTGGAGGAGAAGAAGTAGAAGAAGAGGAAGAGGGAAGAAGAAGAGGAAGAGGAGAAGGAAAAGGAGGAGGAAAAGGAGGAGGAAGAAGAGGAGGAGGAGGAAGAAGAGGAGAAGTAGAAGAGGAAGAGGAGGAAGAGAAAGAAGAAGAAGAGGAGGAGGAGGAAGAAGAAGAGGAGGAAGAGGAGGAGAAGTGGAAGAGGAAGAGAAGGAGAAGGAGAAAAGGAAGAAGAGGAGAAGGAAGAGAAAGAAGAAGAAGAGGAGGAGGAGAAGTGGAAGAGGGAGAAGGAGAAGGAGGAGGAGGAGGAGGAGGAGGAGGAGGAGGAGGAGGAGGAGGAG